GTCTTACGCTTAAGGCTATGAACGTTTCAGAAGCTAATCATACTATAGGTATAATAAACATAATCGCGAACGTTGTATTTTGTAGGCAGCGGCTTGGCTCTGCCCCTGGCATTGCTGAAGTCCATGGGCAACGGTAACAACTCACCATCTGGTGGGCCGTATGCTCGTCTGCCTACAAGGGCAATAAAAAAAAAATTGTAATAAAAAAAAAACTTTGTATTACCACCATTGGGAGTACCCAATTGAAGTATCAATTTATTAATTTTCAAACATAATGCTAATTTGTTTCAGTAGGTTTTGGTCAGGAGGAAATCGCCGGACTTCCGCCCTTTTCTGGGGATACTGGGCGGGGTATGTCAGAGTCGAACTGACTAAAACCTCCTGTCGCTCAACAACCAACGTCCAAACCTCGCATGAGACAGAACTCATGACAAGGCAAAGGGGGGAAAGTGAAGCGTTTAGTGCGGAGCACATCTCTCCCATCACCCTCCCCCTCGGGACGNAGTCGAACTGACTAAAACCTCCTGTCGCTCAACAACCAACGTCCAAACCTCGCATGAGACAGAACTCATGACAAGGCAAAGGGGGGAAAGTGAAGCGTTTAGTGCGGAGCACATCTCTCCCATCACCCTCCCCCTCGGGACGCCGGACTGGCGGTCGTCGGCGCCACGACCACCAGCCCTCTCGGTTGTTTCAGTAGGTAATCATTTTAAAGTCACAATTTTATACAGTTCAACCTCGAACGAAATGTTGACATCACTACATCATAATTGTAATAAAACCTGCACACAAATATTGAATGAACACTTATTGTTTCGTTTATTTCCTGTATCTGTACATAATCGTCGTATGGAATCACCTGTTCTGACATTGAACGCTATCGGCGATGCACCGCAACACAATGCCTGTACCTTTAAGATTCGTGCAGAGATTGTGAGGTCCGCGTAGCCGACGCATTGTCTGCCAACACCGAAGCTTAATAAATACTTATACGTTTTTATCGGAAAGTTGTCTGACTGTTAGGGAGTACGACGATAAAATAATCACAAAGACTTGTAAATAATTTTACAAACACTATTATTAATCGGGATCTCACTGTTAGTTTTTAAGTTTTTAGTTTTTTTGATTTTAGTTTTAGTGAATTCATGATATTCAATAAGCGTGTGGAACGGTAGTCTACCCGAGATCATAGCGGCGCTTGCAACACTACCGAAAATATATGTAAATGTATATAAATGTATGTATGTATATTGGATGTATAAGTGCATATATGTATGTAAGATTGTTTTTAAAACTAAATAATTACAGTCAATGCGCTGAAGTGCTTTTTTATTTCATGCATTTTAATGGTATTTCAGATATTCATTTTGTACTAGACATACAGCTACACTTGTTTTCGTTCCTGTAACGTGCCATGAATATAATATGTTTAGCTGCAAGTCAAAAGAGTTACCTCTAGCGGGCTGTAAATGAGCACTGCCTGAGGGGGTGTTACTAATGTTATTTAAAAAAAAAAAAGTGTGTGTGTCCGCTCCGACGCACGACTGGAGTTTACTGGATATAAAAAATTAAACGAAACAATACGAGAAATAGTTCTATATTACGACAACACGATACACTACAGATTATTAACAAATTAACGAGACACAAAACAAACGACTAACAAATATATGAAAATACAATAATGAGAGAAACGCGCGATCNAACAAACGACTAACAAATATATGAAAATACAATAATGAGAGAAACGCGCGATCAGTACGAGGCTTTGTGGCGGACTGCCGGCGCAGCAGCCCGGCGTCACCTGCGATAACGCGGCCGCGCGTTGGCTCCTGATTGGCGCGCGCACGCATCACGCAATCAGGAGCCAATCAGGCGCATAACGCATTTCGTGTGACATGCTAGTACGGTTTTGGTCCCCATAATTTTCATACCCCGGGCCTATATATGTAAATCGATTCTTAAGGAGTAAACTCCAAAAATTCAGTATACTCGGGATAGTATGAGGAGCTATTTCGTTTTATAAAAGTTTTTCTCTACTTAAAAAATACACATAAAATTTAGATGAGGTTCCGCACAAAGACAGCTCGTAGTCTGGATTAACGCATGGCTGTTTTTTATCATGTTCTCCTCCTCGCGGCGTTCCTCACTGCTGAGGGTCGTGACCATCATATTTTGACAGGATTTTACTTCTTGTAATGTCCCTTCAGCGCCTCCGATCATTGGACGCATGAAGGGCCTCGTGGAATGGGATCTCTATAAGTGTGGTGTGGATTTGGTCGAACCACCTTGTCGGACTGCGCCCGCGCGGTCTCTTTCCCTAGATCTCCTCTGTCACGAATAGTCTCTAGGATATCGGGCGTTTTCCGAGCAATATGACCGAAGTACTCGAGTGCGCGGCGAAGGCAGAGTGTAGACAGTCTTATCTTGATCTTCAGTTATTCCAAGATTATCATCATATTAAATAACACTAAAAAGGACGGATATATTATAATAAATACGATACTGTATTCGCTGTTTCGTAACTTTACTTGCTAAGAGATCTACAAGTTAATTGATAACCTATGCACCAGAAACTGACAGATTTTAATCCCAATAAAATCCAAGATGTTTCACTATTTCCGAATTACTAATTTAAGGCAGCCGAAGCCGCGGAGCATATCTTATTTAATGATATTAATAAGGCCATTTATTTAAAGGTCATATGAACTGGCTCTGACTTTCGAGATAAGTCCCACTGAATATAGATTATTACTATCAAAGATCAAGCAAAATTGGTAGGTTTTACAATAGTTAAAAGTTGCTTAGTTTCAATCTGTCTCAATCTGTGAGTACAACTCCGATTTTCGGAGAAGTTGAATAAATTTTCAGTGAAATCTTAGAAACTAAAAATTGTTCTAAAACTTCCATTAAGATATTCATCACAGTTGTAGTAAAAATTTCACAGTTTTCCAAGAACCTACCCCTCGCGTCATTGCTTAGATTTAAATTAATGATTACCGCTTTGTTTTTCTTTTAAGGGTCGTGTTTGAAAAGAATTGCACATTGATTCATGTTGGTGATGAGGTGTATTTCAGACACGCATGGGCAGGAACGTCAAGAACTAATCATGCGTACCGTTTTTAAGGGTGAGGCAGCCGATTTGAGACATTCATATTGTGCTGTCTATGGGTTCCAGTTAGGTTCTATTTCATCCGAGATCCGAAGCATGGTCACAACTTATTGTGCGACTGAAGACTTTAGTCGGTGTAACTCTGATACGCCTCGTCGAAAATCAGAAATATATAGGTGATAAAACTTAGACCTAAAAAAACTAAGAATATACGTTTTATTATAGAAATAAACAAATAAAACATTCCGAATCGTTCGAAAAACATGAATGTCTCTGTGACAATAAATATATTTCAAAGACACATTTAAAAACTATTTTGTCACAATTTATGTCACAAGTATGTATATGCAGATGCGAAAAATGTAGTGTGAAGATAAGTTTGCTTAATAGGAGGTCTACACAAGGTCAAGAAAGTCCACTGCCAAGGTCTAAGCAATTGAAGTCGTTTAGAATTGCAAATTTTTGTCTACATCTACGAAATTGCCATTCAACCAACACGAGGCGAACAAGTTAGACTTTTTTGTTACGAAACAAATTATTGATTTATGTAAATATTACAGTTATAAAACATGACTAAAAATATGTGTGTGTCATTCCCTTCATTAAAAACTGAAGATGGACTAACCATCTTTTTCTCTTTTTGCATCACTGTTATTAAGAAGGAGCTATACTCGTAGAGACTAAATAAGATGGATAATTTTAATTAAAAGTTTGGTATCACAAGTAATACGTAAAACAAAAAAAATCTACAAAACCATTATAGTCATTAATATGCAAAGTAGAGAATAAGCAGAAATCACCTCAGGTGGTAAACCGGATTGGATGGTAACAGACTAGTTGTCACCTATACATTTTTTGCCCAACAAACCGAGGAAACGAAAATTCTCTGTAGATTTTAGATTACGATTTAGATCTACAATCCAACAGAACGATAGTTTTTGATTCAATCAAACTCTTATATATTTAATTAACGTCAAGAAAAACGTGAAGTTAATAATAACAAACAACTGAATAGATGTCACAGCCATCAATAATAAAAACGCTAGGAATTGTCAATAAATTACAATCTGCAGATGCTGTCGATAATAATACAGACTAAAATTAATTTAATAATTTGTAATCAATAACTAAAACGAACAGAAAGTAAAGACTATAAAATTATTCCCGTATGAATTAGCATTAATTAAATTATTATATAATATGATCAATGATTTTAATGAGAGAGCCACTCATCATTTGGTATATTTATAAGATGTCACTATGGCACTAGATTGTCTGTCTGGCTGCTAAACTAAAACGCATGATTGCTTCGAACGTGAATTCACCAATAAAACTTAACTAAAATTAACCTCTTTCTATATTTTTAGTTGAAATTTTTTAAAATAGGTTTTAAAAACAAACAAAAACGGGATACGGGTTTTTCTCGCCTTCTCTTAAATTATCTCCAGTTTCAGTGAAAAATACTTCCGCCTCGACCAATATCTGTCAACATAATTCCACGTTTGACTTGAAAACATCACAAAAACTTGCTTTCATTGACAACTATCTTGTGCAACATAATGGCTTTTAAATTATTACCTCCGACAAAAAGTTCCATACAATATTCCTGTACGCTCTTTACGTACGATTTCGTATCTAAAGGAAATCACCCAACGAGTTTGCGTAGAGCGATATAATATTGTAAAAAATCTGAAATATAATAAACGATCATTATAAGTACACAACAATTTGTAAATTAATGTCATAATTTGTATGAGATGCGTGTGCGGCGATGAGGGCGGTCGATACACAGACTCAGCAGGCGTGCGGCGTCTTCGCGTCTCCATAGTGACCCGTCGTGGAGTACATAAGCGATCGCTCGGCAAGCCTGCCGCACAGAACGCTGTAACCTGGTGAGCGCGCCGCACATAGTGCAGCGGATCCCCGGGAAATTCAAATAATAAAAGAAGTTTGACGTTTCGTAAATTACGAGTGAGAACATATTATATTCTAGTTACGAATCTCAACTTAAACGTGAAAACCAACTTAAGTTCAGAGTGTTGTGTATAATTTTTTTAATTAAAATGATTTCCTTAGTGTTGTTTGTTTTGGGAGCTATTCTCGCAACAACAGAAGGTTGTGGCCCAGGAAAGCAGTTATTAAGTAAGTTAATTCCTTTTACTAATTATCAATTAAAAAAAAATTAAAGTTAAATCTCACGGCTGATCTAAGATCTGAGAGATCTTATATCAGAACGCTACGATGTCTTCGTCAAACTAAGCCTAATCAGAAAATATATAATATACTATATAATATACCGCATAATATATATGCAAAAGCGCGACTTGTACCTCATGCATTGCCATGGGCGTCAGCATATACTTTCGGACTGCCTACAAAAAAAAGTACTTTATCATGTAATAATCCCTTATATTATTCAATATTTAAGGACACCATACAACGAGTCACTGTTTAATGGACATTTTCAATTTTATTCATATCAGGCAATTCATTAATTTTAATATATTCATTCATAAATAAGCCGTTTAAGTGCCTCATGAAGTCATCGTGAATACACATAAAAATCTAGTTTTAAACTCAAGATGTCAATTCCACTTCATCGATTACCTTAAAAGTTTTCCGAAATTAACATAACAGTTTAAAAAAAAAATGGTAATGGTGACCATAAGTTTAAAATTAATCTGTTGTAATGTCGCCAGCCAGTCTAGCTTTCGCCAACTAGTTCCATCTGATGATGTATCTATTTAGCATACTCGTATGGACCGAGGTAGTAAAATTTTATTGACACAGACACCTGTATTAGCACGCACCGGTCTAATAAATCTTATAAATCCGATAGATTACGAAATCAAACGAATTGCTATTTTAACCTTGACACTTAATTTAGCTAATACTGTCGTATTCGTGTATCATAAACGGTAATAATGTAATAAGGGACTGTTTTTTTTTTTCAATATTAAAGTTTATCATTGCTCATCGCCACACTTTGTTTCCAGAATCTGGAGGTTTGACTGCTTACGAGAAACAGGCCATTGTGGACGCACACAACCGTCTCAGACAGACTGTTGCTCTCGGACAAATTACCAAACAGCCCCCAGCAGCTAACATGATGGAAATGGTATGCTATCTTAATTCTTTATAGGCGTTGATATTGATAAGCTAACAGCTTGGCCTGTGTACCTTCAAGTGTGGGCTCGCAAGTCGGCAAATTAATAATTTTGAGAATACCTTTTTAATATTATTTGAATCATTATTGTGTTCGTACATATTACCACTTCTTACCTGAACAAATTGCTAAATCGAATAGTGGTAGACTGTAGTATTTCGGACAATAAATATATAAATTATACAATAATACCGTTTGATTGCACTATAAATAAATTTTCATTTCGATTTGAAATCCAAGATAGAATATTATATTATATTTTATCGGTTGCCAAATGATCAATACCTGCTTCTTGTATGGAAAGCTTACGTTTTGAGTCTCACTAAATACCACTATGCTTCCGGTGTAGAGAACCAAAAAAATCCTAGTAACATAGTTGTATCGACGACATAGTCACAGTTGTGGTTTAAAAAAAAACTTTGAGGCGCTTGGTCATCTATCTACCTGCCAAAAAAAGATATAAATGAACAAATATTTTCGGAGTAATTACATTTGCTAAATTAAATTTCTTTTGTTTTAGATTTGGGACGATGAATTGGCAGCTACTGCTCAACGCTGGTCCGATCAATGTATACCCGCTCACGACCGCGCTGCCCAACGTGATTTGGGCAGATTCCCTGTTGGACAGAACCTCGCAGCCACTTGGACAACTCGTCCACCAACTGAACCATCCGACTCTGCGCCTGACTTCCAGAAGCAAATCAATGCTTGGTTCGATGAAGTCGGTAAATACGGCTTCAAGCCTATCACGGGAGGTCATGGCACTGGACACTATTCACAGGTAAGAAATCACGAAAAATAATTATTTCTTAAAATTTAAAGTATTTTTAGTAACAAAACACAGAAATTTAAATTTCTATATATATTAAAACACACACAATTTAATTAAAATGGAATTGAATTGAACTAAATTATCTCAGGATTAAAAATTTAATTTTCTATTTTCGTTTCAGTTGGTTTGGGGCGAGACCTCACATGTGGGTTGTGGCTACACTTTCTACTACGATCCGTCCAAGGGCTACACGAAACTGTATGTGTGTAATTACGGCCCCGGCGGTAACGTCATAGGATCCAATCCTTACGAAAAAGGCTATCCCGCGTGCAGTACCTTTGGTCTTACGGAATCACGAAAATATTCGGGACTTTGTGGTACGTACATATAAAATAAAAACAATCCTTTAAATGAATGCTTATTAAAAATACTATATGAGTATTTATTCGATTCTTATCCCAAATTTTATATTATTATGCGTATATCAATTTTGATTTCTTGTTTCTTCCACAGTTGCCAGTTTCACCTCGTCATCATACCAAGAAAACTCGAACAGCTACATCTCTAATGCCATCCCCGACAGCACGGGCGAGACTCAAACCTACAACTATCAATACAGGAACCAATTTTACAATCAGTACAACAACCAATACCAGTATCAATACCAGCAGCCAGAAACTTACTACCAAACTGAGACCTCCTCATTCAGGCCGTTGCTCAGTATCTTCAAAACCGCTACAAACCTGTTCACAAAACCGAAATCTCAGGTTCGGATTGGCACTGTTTTCGTATAGAGACTTCTTCAGTGTGAAATATATTAATACATAGCAGTATTTTCTAAATTATTGTGACGGTTATGTTACTAGACTGATTATTCGAAGTCTCTGATTACAGTGCTTCGGAACATTGTAAATAGTATTGTTACTCCTTGGTTTTACAAGGAATTAATTAAGCCTAAATATACAAACTATGTGAGGGTCTCAGTGATAAAAAAATAAATTGCTGTCGAGAATGGCCTTCTAGTATTAGCTAAAGATATGAGTTTTGTTATGTTAATATAAAATAAATTAATTTTATAAAATATGTTTTAATTTTCATTTTATTTGCACAAATCACATCATATTTTTTCCTGACCTAATTAAATTTATTTTTAATTAAACGCAAAATATGCACCAAAAAATAAAAATCAAAGTCGATATTTATAACCAACATTATTCATAGAGTTTCCTTGGATTGTTATTCGCATGCTCCCCCCGTGGGTCTGCTGGCAGATTTTTGTATCACATAATAAGCAGCGTCTTTGTAATTTTTCTATTATCCGCTATTATTATATTTTTCTGTACCTAATATATAAAAATGAATTGCTGTTCGTTAGTCTCGCTAAAACTCGAGAACGGCTGGACCGATTTGGCTAATTTTGGTCTTGAATTATTTGTGGAAGTCCAGAGAAGGTTAAAAAGGTAGATAAATATGAAAATGCTCGGAATTAAATAATAATAACAATATTGTTTTTTCTTTGATGTGTCTTCCGTCGGACGGATTCCTTTTGTTTGTTTTAAGTTTATTTTATACAAAAGCTTAGGTATTTTATTTATCGATTGAGGCACTACAAAGTCTGCCGGATCAGCTAGTAATAAATAAAAATAGACGTAGATAGCTTCTGAACACGTGACATCACTAGCTAGTGGATCGATGTGTATTAATGAATACCTACCCGTATTAAGTACCTAATGTAGGTGACATTTCAAATATCCACAATAGTTTTATTATTGTAGAGCTCATAAAAACTGAATAATAATTGTGATTCGTATTAAATATTTAAAATCAGATCAAATGAGACTTCATTTGATCGTAGCCTAAAGGATAAGATGTCTAGTGCATTCGTATCTAGCGATGCAACGGTGTTCGAATCCCGCAGGCAAATGCCAATTTTGTAATGAAATACGTACTTAACAACTGTTCACGATTGACTTCCACGCTGAAGAAATAACATCTATACATATAAATAAAATTGGAGTGTCTGTTTGTAATATTGAAATAACCGCTTTTTACCACATGCAAATGAATATACATACGGTACATACACCAAAATAACATTTTTTACAATTTTTGTCTGTCTGTCTGTCTGTCTGTTTGTTCCGTCTAATCTCTGGAACGGCTGGACCGATTTTGATGGAACTTTCACTGACAGTAGCTGGTGATATAAGGAGTAGCTTAGGCTACTTTTTTTAGACTAGCTTCGCCCCGCGGCGTCACCCGCGGTTTTTGTCGTACCGCGGGATAACATCGCGGGGCTCAGTCTATCAATAATAATATTTAATGTTTCAGAAGCGTAGCTAGGGCGGGTTGCTATTATATAATAAAAATCAAACCCGCAAAATTATAATTGGCGTAATTACTTCTGGTAGGACGCCTTGTGAGTCCGCACGGGTAGATACCACCCTGCCTATTTCTGCCGTGAAGCAATAATTCGTTTCGGTTTGAAGGGTGAGGCGGTCGTTGTACTGTAAAAACTGAGACCTTAGAACTCATATCTCAAGGTGGGTGGTGGCATTTACGTTGTAGATGTCTATGGGTTCCGGTAACCACTTAACATTAGGTGGGCCATGAGCTCGTCAACCCCCATATGCATTAAAAAAAAATAGTTGAGAAGAATATATATTCTTCGATTTAAATTTACACGATTACATACTTTTTTTTGAGCAGAATTTTTTTTATAATGATTTTAACACACTGTCCACACTGTGTATACTTCTTATTTCGCGAGTTTCGGATAACACACATTGGACAGTTCCGTAGTTACCATTTACATTAATGGCTTAAATTCAAGTTGATAAATTTTAAAATATATTTTAATCGCTTAAAATGCGTAATTACTGCCGGTTGGACAGGTCCCACATCCTACTTATTTCTGCCACGAAGCAGCAACACGTTTGAAGTAACTAAAGTAGATATTGCACGAGTCGTTTAAACATGACTTTTTTAACTTTAGTCTCGGAAATCATTAATTACCACACTTAGAAGGACTGCACTAGAAATAAATAAAAAGGATAACATTTCTATAACCTCATAAAGATCAATACATCTTCATCGCATTTTCATAATACAACATTTTTATTTCTATTTTCTTGTTAACTAACATGAATGACTTTAAAATGAATGAATTTTATCTTTAAAATATTAATACTCAACAAGAAAAATCGCTGAGAATAAATTGTTATTTTACAAAGAGAATTTACATCCTTGACCTCAGCAAATGGAAGGTCGGAGACACTTAGGTGCGTTAACATTGAACAAATATCAGAGGTGTTAAAACCAATATTATGATTTACACATACCCCATAAAGAGGATATTTAACATAGAGAATAGAACAAACAGAAATGTCACTGGATCACCTACTATTATTTCGCACGCTACGAATAATTTAAATACCCACACCCATTCCATACCAAAAAAACTCGGGAAGCGGTAAATAATGCTTTTTGTATCCATGACAACTGTAAACCATTACTGAATTCCAAATTTTCAAAATGAATGAAATAAACGTCATAATTTACTTTGTTTCTGAATTTGTCTAGTTAGTCGATCAAGCTGTTTAAACACCACATTCGTCGCGGCTTCGAAGGCGGCATTGCCAACATCTCCTCCATAATATTCATTAAAATTACTAAAACTAAATGAATAATCCTTCCCATGATAAAAATATAATAGGGATCTTAGTATTGTCACTGCCTCGATAGAATGTAATAAATAGATACGAACGAACTCTATGTTATTACATTATTGAAATTAGGTATCTTATAAAGACGGTGCGGAAGCTAAACCTATTTGTTGCGTATTAAAATTGAATCGGCAAGCGCTCTGTCGGAACTCTCCACACTCGGTCGGAACCTCCTCCTTCTGGATCCAAGTCGATTATAATTGTGAAGCCCCAGCAAAACTGTTCCCCAAAACAAAGACTGCTGATTAAGATGAAACGAAACATAAGTTGAAAAATATGTATGTAACTAATAATAAAAATATATAAATCATCTGTATCGTAAAAGCCTCACTATCGCATTCACCTAAGGATGCGGATTCAGCGGTCAGAATCCATAGTCTGACCTCTAGGTGTGCGTTTTCTTTTGCGTTGTCTATTGCCCGTATAATATCCATGGCCCAGATAAACGCCACCGCCTACTTTGAGATCATAGTCTCACCTGCAGGTTTGGATGTACTTATTAGGTCGTTTTTTTAATAAATCCACAATATTATTATATAATCGAGAGACGTTACACAATTTCTGGATACGAATAATACATTGCATTAGTGAGTATAATTAACACGTTCGTACTTATATTTACACAGTGGTTACAGCGAAATGGCTGTCGACTTGATAATTTATCAAAATTGACCTAACATAATAGATACCCATAGAAAATGTAAGTAACATGTTTTAGTTAATGAAAAAAAGCTGTAGCGTTGGCAACCAGTCCAGTGACATTGAATGTATATCTTTACAATAGATTTTTTTGCAAAAGTTTATATCAGTGCATTAAAACTAGAGACTGATGTTTAAATAATATAATTCATTGGATCGTCATTCGTCCATTCATCCATTCGTTTCTGAGACTTGGTTATAATAGAATTATAAGTCTCTTTAAGAAGTTACTTCAAATAATATATTGGAGAATTTATAAACAGGCAAATAGACTACAAGTCGAGGTAAAACATATCATACAACAGTCACAGTCAACTTCTTTTAGAAACAAATTACATTTCAAACGCAGTAGAAACAGCGTCTTAAGTACTATATAATTATAGGCAGAACCGACTTACTACATTTTCACAACAGGCCGGTACGCAGCGGATAACGTGCCAACAACACGTGTCTGCTGGACCCTCAAAGCAACGAAAGATAACTAGAGGCAGGAATTAGTTAGCCTCAAGATTTGGAGCACGAAAAGCCAAGGAGATTCCGGTTTGGTCGAAAACTTAGTGCAGGCCGGGGGCCATCCTTTGTCCACATTTCGGCCACGGCCACACTGAGCTGTGTCCCTATTATATCCCCATTACCGTAGAAAATCTCCCGAAAATGGCATGACTATAGGGGAGCCACGAAACGGGAGGATTTCGCCACTCCCGTCATAGACTTCTATAGGAACACTGCAAAATCTCTTCCCCCAGCTGCTCAGGCTGGAGACGCGGTTTGAGGTAAGTCTTGCTTGAATTACCTATGTGATTAAAACTACAATCTTGTATTTTATGGAAGGTGGTGGTGTTAACGACATGTAGATCAGTCCATCGTAATTCATAAAAAAAAACAGTTTTTTATTATAAAATGATAGATGATGAGCTCTCGGCTTTAGTGTATCTTCCATACAGCCATATTTCTTTTTTTCCTAAATTACAATGATAGGATCCCTCCTACCCTTTGTTATAGCTGCTCATAAATTGAACCCTCCAACAGCGCATTATAAAATCAGAAAGATCGACCAACATACGTTCAGAAAAACTGAATCTTGAATGAACTTTTAAATTGTAATATTATTATTATTATTATTTTTTGCTTTAAAGTTCTTGTTGAATTTTTTTTGTATTCCTAAAATATATATTTTATTTGTTTTCAGTTTCGATAAAAAAAAAACATAAAATCCTATCAACTTAAAATAATACAGCATCGAAACGAACCTGAACGAATGCTTAATTAAATGGATTTGGTTGTCTAAATTATGTAATGGACAAACTAGTTTTATTGGCATACGTTATTAACTTTCGTTAAATGTCAATAGACTTTATGATAATAATATTATGGAATTAATATTTTTTAGTTAATTGTAATGTTGCCGAGAGTCCTTCCTACGTTACGTGACTTTAGTCATTGTCAAATAAAGATAAAAACCACTTGAGTTCAGAAGCACATTAGCAGTTAAATGATGTGTATATGTGTATATGAGATACATTAAATTAAATTTTTCTCCTACCTGCGCCGTAAGTTTGGTTTTCCTCCCGCTGTACAGGGAAGAAATTGTAACTTTTCCTCCCTGGGCACTGACAAGTGCGCATGCGCATTAGTGTCTACGTCTGCTCTCACACATCTAAA